GGGGGGGGGGGGGGGAGCGAAATTGGGAAATCTCGATCGAGCGTATCCCAGATATTTTTCTCACCACTTCCCACCACTTCAAGTCCCCTTCGTCTTCGACGCAGCGACACGATGTCACGCGACGAGTTATGACGAGTTACTCTCGCGTGGTGTGTAACTTTGTACAGGTTTTTAGGTGGCGAGCGGTTAAAAGCGGCACGGACGACGATTCATTTAAAACACGTTATAAGCGGAGTGGTAATGGCCTGTCGACCATAATTGTCGATCCTCTTAAACATCTCCTCGATGCGTGTTCACGTGGTTTCGAGAAAGAGAGAGAGAGAGAGAGCGGCGTTTTTTACTCGCATTTATTAACTGCAGATATATCGATAAGCGTGCGCAAGCTTCTTTCTGGGCTTTTTCAGCCGCCTTAACCGAATACGTGAGGGAGATCCGAGTATCGAGCCTTCCCTCGATGGGCGAACTCTCGTAAATGCTTTAAGGTTTCGTCGTCGCGCGAATTCTTTTTTTTCCATTCGTGAACCGCCGCTTCCGTGACAATTAATCGGCCCTCGGAATTTCTGGGCTGCGATTGGGATGTCGGTCACGATTTTAAACTGGTTGAAAGAAACAAAGACGAGGATGAAATATATATTCGATTCCCCCGAATCAAATTTGATTTCCATTTTTCGTCATAATAATAAGAGTTGTTCAAATTAAAAGGGGGAAAAAATCGTTAAAAAATTTTTAATCACGTTCCAACTCGGAGATCCTGTACGCAAGTCACTAGGATTACTACAAAAGATTAAAGTCGATTTATCGAGCGACTACCGTGTTGTCCCCGTTGCAGTTTATCTAAATTATAGCTCAGCCGTTCGTAACAACACGTTACTCCTTCCCCCCCCCCTCTCTCTCTCTCTCTTGCCAACAAATCTGTAAACATCGATCTATCGGAACGTGCGCGCGGGAAGTTGCAGCCAAGAAGTTCAGCCGGTGGCCGATCTTCGATAACGAGGTGTTATTTTCTTAATAGATTTCCATTATAATATATTCTAACCGATCTGTTGAAAAACACACACACACACACGCACGCACGAAGGAATAATTAAATCGTGGGAGACGAATCGAAAGAATCGAAGATGGAAAAAAAAAAAAAAAAAAAGAAAGAGGAAGAAAGAGTAAGCAAACTTTTCCAATCTCTCTCCGATTGCTCTCGTCTACCTGCGGACAGGGGGGAAGAGATAACGAGAGCCGGTGCCCTTCGAAACATTTGACGAGTGTTTCGTGCGAGGCCACGAGCGAGGAAGGATGCCTCGGCCCTAAAAAAAAAAAAAAAAAAAAAAAAAAATCAGCCCCCGGAACGATGCAGCCGCTCGTGTGGGGTGAGACGAACCGTGGAGGAGAAGATCCCAGGGACAGAGAAAGGGGGAGGGAGGGAGGGAGAGAGAAAGAGAAAGAGAGAGAGAGAGAGAGAGAGACTGGTAATTTATAATGTGTAATATGTAAAGTGGTAATGGACGGCCGGTTGTAGTGGTC